GGGCTACAACCCGTGCGAGGTGCGCAGGGCCAAGCGGGGGGGTCCGGGGGGAGTCGCGGCTGGCGCTGACGCCCCTCTGGCGCGCAGGGGGCGTTCGGGGCCCTGCAGAAGATCTGCGAGGACTCCTCCGAGCTCCTGGACAGTGACGCGCTCAACCGGCCCCTCAACGTCATGATCCCCAAGTTCCTCCAGTTCTTCAAGCACTGCAGCCCCAAGATCAGGTATGGGTGCGCTGGGGGGGGACGCGCGTCCTTCTGCAGCCCCGCGGAGGGGTTGGGGGGGGCCCAGCCGGGGTGGGAATGCGGGGAGGCCGTGCCCAGAGCCGTTCAAGGAGATGGGGTGGGAAATGAGCTGTTTCTGTGCTCTGTGCTACTGGCTGCGGCTTGCCTCGGGGTTCCCTTGTCCCCATCCTTTCCCCTGATGGGTGTTCCGGCTCCGTCTGTGCCCCCCTTGGGGTGATGTGGGGATTTGGGACCCCCAGACCGAGCAGCTCCTGCTCAGCCCATCCCCACGTCCCCAGGTCATCCCATGGGGACCGTGTGTGTGTGTGTGTGTCCCTAGGTCTGCTCTGGGGCAGGAGATTATTCCAGCCCAGAGCACATTTCTTTCTCACAAGTTAATTCAGTGCCGGGGGGGCCGGGAGGGGCAGGTGGCTGGGCTGACCCCCCCGCCCGGCTCCGCATCGTTAGCTAACGAGCCTGCTGGACCCGCGCCATGGTCTGTCTCCCTCCAGGTCTCACGCCATCGCCTGCGTCAACCAGTTCATCATGGACCGGGCTCAGGCGCTGATGGAGAACATTGACACCTTCATCGAGGTGAGCGGCTGGGTGGGGGGAGCCCCCCGGAGCCCCCCCAGAGCGGCCCCGAGGGCTCCCATGTGTGTCCCCCCCCCCAGCACCTCTTCGCTCTGGCGGTGGACGAGGACCCCGAGGTGCGGAAGAACGTCTGCCGCGCGCTGGTGATGCTGCTGGAGGTCCGCATCGACCGCCTCATCCCCCACATGCACAGCATCATCCAGGTGAGACGGCAGGGGGCAGGCGGGCGCCACAGGACCCCCGGGTGGGTTGTTGGGGGGCTGACACCCCCCCCGCCCCCCACAGTACATGCTGCAGCGGACGCAGGACAGCGACGAGAACGTGGCGCTGGAGGCCTGCGAGTTCTGGCTGACGCTGGCTGAGCAGCCCATCTGCAAGGAGGTGCTGACCTCCCACCTGATGCAGTGAGTGCTCGGGACCAGGCCCCCCCAGCCCCTCATTTCCCCCTTTGCCCCCCGCAGGCTCATCCCTATCCTGGTGCATGGCATGAAGTACTCGGAGATTGATATCATCCTGCTCAAGGTATGAGCTCGGGGGGAGAATGGCAGAGTGCCCGGCTCCCCATCCCTCCTCCAGCTCTGCGGGGCTGGTACTGGTTAAACTGGAGGGACTGGGGCAAGGCAGGGGCTGCCCCGAGACCTCCTGGACGTGATGACAGATTCAGAGCTGATGCCGGTGATGGCTGTTGTGTTCGTACTGTCTGATCCGTGTGGGCCAGGATGGGTGGTTGGGGGTCCCCGTGGTGGGACGTGATGTCCGCTGTCCCCACAGGGTGACGTGGAGGAGGACGAGGCCATTCCTGACAGCGAGCAGGACATCAAGCCCCGCTTCCACAAGTCCCGCACGGTGACGCTGCAGCACGAGGAGGAGCGGCCGCAGGACCCTGATGACGCGGAGGATGAGGACGATGACGACACGCTCTCAGACTGGAACCTGAGTATGGGCTCGTTGGGGGGTTCCGGCCCCAGGCTCCTGCAGTGAACCCTGGGGGATCGGGGGGTTAATTACACCCCTGCCACTCCGTCCCCTCTTGCCTCCCCGTCAGGGAAGTGCTCGGCTGCCGCGCTGGACGTACTGGCCAACGTCTTCCGGGAAGAGCTGCTCCCCCACCTCCTCCCGCTGCTCAAGGAGCTCCTCTTCCACCCCGAGTGGGTCATCAAGGAGTCGGGCATCCTTGTCCTGGGGGCCATTGCGGAAGGTGGGTGCCACGCTGCCTGCGATGGGCTGTCCCCGAGCCGCCGCCATGGTGGAGCCGGGGGTCTCTGAGCCTCCCTGTGCCCCCCAGGCTGCATGCAGGGCATGGTGCCCTACCTGCCGGAGCTGATCCCCCACCTCATCCAATGCCTGTCGGACAAGAAGGCGCTGGTGCGCTCCATCGCCTGCTGGACCCTGAGCCGCTACGCCCACTGGGTGGTCAGCCAGCCCCCCGACATGTACCTCAAGCCCCTCATGACCGAGCTGCTCAAACGCATCCTCGACAGCAACAAGCGGGTGCAGGAGGCGGCGTGCAGGTAAGGGCCGGGGGGGGTGGGATCTGGGGCCGCCCGTGGTGGTTTTGGAGCAGGATCCGCTGGATCCAAGCCCTTCTCTGGGCAGGATGAGGAACCTGATGCGTTGAGTCCCTGTGATGCTGGCGTATTCGTACTGTCTGACCCAGAGCGGGGGCGGCGGGGGGCTCAGCCCTGGCCCGGGGGGGGCTGCTGACCCTTTCTCCCCCACCCAGTGCCTTCGCCACGCTGGAGGAGGAGGCCTGCACGGAGCTGGTGCCGTATCTCAGCTTCATCCTGGACACGCTGGTCTTCGCCTTCGGCAAGTACCAGCACAAGAACCTGCTGATCCTCTACGACGCCATTGGGACCCTCGCCGACTCTGTGGGGCACCACCTCAACCAGCCGGTACGATGCAGGGCGTCCCCCTCCCCGGGGTCCCCTTCTCGGGGGTCCCCTCGCCCCCCACGGCGCCCCGCTGCGTCCCTCCCCGGGCCCCAGCCCAGGACCAGTGATGACAAAGTGACAACAGACATTCGAATCCCGAACTCCCAGTGTGGATCAATCTGGTCTGATGGTCCCTGGGCTGAGGGGGAGCGTCCCCGCGCCCTCCCGTACCCCCAGTGTCCCCCCCGTGACAGCGTCTCTCCCCGGGGCGCAGGAGTACATCCAGAAGCTGATGCCTCCGCTCATCCAGAAGTGGAACGAGCTGAAGGACGAGGACAAGGATCTCTTCCCGCTGCTGGAGGTGAGCCGTGGGGCGCAGAGGGTGGCGGTGGGGGGAGCCCCGGCCCCTCGGCCCTCTCCCACGCCCCCCCCTGCCCGCAGTGCCTGTCCTCGGTGGCCACCGCCCTGCAGAGCGGCTTCCTGCCCTACTGCGAGCCCGTCTACCAGCGCTGCGTCACCCTGGTCCAGAAGACGCTGGCTCAGGCCATGGTGAGCCACGGCCCCCCTTTCCCGGGCACCGTGGGGTGACCTGCCGTGGGCTGTGACCCCCCGTGGGGTGACCGCGTACCCCCTCTCTCCCTGCAGATGTACAACCAGCACCCCGAGCAGTACGAGGCCCCCGACAAGGACTTCATGATCGTGGCCCTGGACCTGCTGAGCGGTTTGGCCGAGGGTCTCGGCTGCCACGTGGAGCAGCTGGTGGCTCGCAGCAACATCATGACACTGCTTTTCCAGTGCATGCAGGTGAGGGGTCCCCCGGGACCCCCCGCCCTGGGGGCTGCCGGGACCCCCCTGCGCTCACCCCCTGCCCGCTCCCCGCAGGACACCATGCCCGAGGTGCGGCAGAGCTCCTTCGCCCTCCTGGGCGACCTCACCAAGGCCTGCTTCGTGCACGTCAAGCCCTGCATTGGTGGGTGCTGGGGCTGTGGGGGTTCCCCGGGGGGGGGCGAAGTGGGGGCACCCCGAAAGGACGTGCTGGGGGGGGCCTGGCTGACGCTGCCCCCCCCCCCCCCA